TTCTTTTAGCTTTTAAAGATATTTCTATTGCGTTCATATTCTAATGGCCAGAGTATATGCAGCCCAGCTACAGTTTAGTGTCCTTCAGTGATTTATGACCAATTAATTGTATTACCTCAGAAGCATGGGAAATCACTGCAACTTTGCAAATAACAGAAAAAGAGAAGATAACACAGTGGAACTTAAACTGTTCACAGACTAGATATAAAACATATTCTGTAGTTATGGTATGTGAAAGCTATTTTGCCTTATGCAGGTCAGCCTATATTCAGTGTCTATATTTAATCCATCAGATCGTAATGGTCCCCTCTTTAATAATTGCTGGTCAGTATCGCATGCTGGAAAAGATCTAAAGATGGGATTACTTTAGAAAACATCTGCAGTACTTTAGTCAATAGCCTGTGATGTAGAACCTAAGAAAGTGTTCTTCCTATTGATGAGGCCTTCAGACTTAGAGGGGAGGCAATCTGAGACTTCTGAATGATGTCTCTCTGGTTGTCCCATGCTTTTTTTCAAATGTATGACTCATTTTTGGAGATATTTTGGTTTTATTTTCAAACTTTAGAATGGGGCCTTGTTTCTTCTGGTGGACAACAAGCTGACCATGAGCCAGCAGGCTGCCCTTGTTGCCAAGAAGGCCAATGGCACTCTGGGGTGCATTAGGAGGAGCATGGCCAGCAGGGCGAGGGAGGTTCTCCTCCCCCTCTACTCTGCCCTGGTGAGACCCCACCTGGAGCTCTGTGTCCAGCTGTGGGCACCCCGGTTCAAGAAAGATGAGGAACTCCCTAGAGAGAGTCCAGAGGAGGGCAACAGAGATGATGATGGGGGGACTGGAGCATCTCCCCTGTGAGGAAAGGCTGAGGGAGCTGGGCTTGTTCAGCCTGGAGCAGAGAAGGCTGAGAGGGGATCTCATCAACACCTACAAATATCTCAAGGGTGGGGGTCACGAGGACGGAGCCAGACTCTTCCCAGTGGTGCCCAGCGCCAGGCCAAGGGGCCATGGGCACAAACTGAAGCAGAAGAGGTTCCAGTTGAACGTGAGGAAGAACTTGTTGACTTGGAGGGTGCCCGAGCCCTGGCCCAGGCTGCCCAGGGGGGCTGTGGAGTCTCCTTCTCTGGAGATCTTCAACCCCCCCCGGATGCTGTCGTGTGCCCCCTGCTCTGGGTGAGCCTGCTTGAGCGGGGGGGTTGACTGGGTGAGCTCCCGAGGTCCCTTCCCACCCTTGCCATGCTGGGATTCTTTTTCTTTTTAAACCATTTGTAGTACTGAAGTATGATTGGATTTTTACAGTTGCAGAGTCAAGGGAGAAATGAGTTTGCTCATAAATGTGTGTATTTGTAGATATATTTGTATGTGAGGAGTCCTGATATCTTCATGTATAATCAAGTCACAAAATTACATGAATTGGCATTTGGCCAAAAAATGTAATTCTCACCAAAAGTGACCCCTCTAGATCAGGTGAGTGGGTCAGAAAATCACTAATTGACACAGCAGAACTTGCTCTGCCGTGGCATAAACATGGTTCCTCTTTTTATTCCAGGCTAATCAAGACTTTTTTTTCCTTTATTTCCTTGTATTTCTGTTTTATTCCCACTTGTAAATTGGGTCAGATACTCTCTTTTGGGTTGGTTTGGGGGAGGGGGGGGGGAAGTTGTTTTTGTTTTGTCTTTTTTTCTGCTTCTGTCAGATACGATGCAAGACCCATGTTAGAGCGTAATACATGAATATTCATAGATAATATTTTGCTATCAGTAGTGGCAAGTTGAAGTAGCTGCTGTTTAGCGCTCACAACTTCATCTGGGGCTTCTTGCTAGCTCCTGTTTGGACTTGAGCTATTTCTCTGCAGTTCCTGTCCTGTTCCATTGATGACCTCATGCGGCTGGCAGGGAGCGGATGTCTGGACTGGAAGTGTCTTCAGAACTGTATTTTTCTGAGAAGTGGGTGGAGAGAGGTGGGGGGAGGACAGTGGTGGAGTACCACCATCTGTGCCTCCCTCTGAATACTTTTTTAGTGACTCACTGGGAATGGTAATGACAGGCGGGCCAGGACGAGAGAAACAGCTGTTTGCACAAAATGCAATTGGGAGACCAGGGGTTTGCTGTTTGGACGGCAGTTCCTGAAGGAATATTGTAGGTAATGCAAGAAGAGAGCAGCCCAAAATAGCCAAAGTGAGTAGTTGTCACATAACAGTTCTTGGCTATCGGGTACTGTGGAGTGCTTCTTGTAACCCTTATTTACAAGAAATCAACTTAGTCTGAGGTATGATCACCTCAGTGATGCCATACCTTCCAAGCATTCGAGCCTATTTAGATTCTAACAGTAAGTAATCAAGGCAGTTAGCTTGGGCAACGGAATGGTTGAAGGGAAGAGACCAGCATGGCTGAGACAAGAGATGCTGGTCAAACTAAGGAGGAAGAGGGAACTGCACAGGCAGTGGAAGCAGGGACAGGCATCCTGGGAAGAGTATAGGGACGCGGTCCGGTTATGTAGGAATGGGGTCAGGAAGGCCAAGGCGCAGCTGGAGCTAAACTTGGCTAGGGATGCAAAGAATAATAAGAAGGGTTTCTACAGGTATATTAGCCAGAAAAGGGTGGTTAAAGAAAGCGTACCCCCGCTGATGAGCGAGACTGGCAAGCTGTTAACAGCAGATGAGGAGAAGGCTGAGGTACTCAACAACTTTTTCACCTCAGTCTTCACTGGCAACCACTCTCCTCAGCCCTCCTGAGTCGATGGATGGCATGAGGGGGACTGGGAGGGCAAAACCCCTCCTGCTGTAAGAGAAGATCAGGTTTGTGACCACCTGAGGAACCTGAA